CGACTACGGTATCTCACCTCAGAACGGCTTCTTGCCCGATGAGATACCGCTCGATGTCCTGCCGGATCGCTACTACCAACCGTGGGAGACGATTGTGCGCAACTTCCAAAGCTTGATCCTTGCCAAGCGGCTACGTGGGATAGTCGACACATTACCAGTACTGGGAACCGAATTCCTCCTCACAGAAGCTGAATGGCGGAGAGCCTACTCCATCTTGGGGTTCATCGCCCATGCATACATCTGGGGCGGTGACAGACCATCTGATGTAAGCCTCGAAAATCTACATGTTCCAAAGCGATGCATAGCTAACGACCCCGTTCAGATTGTGCCACCATCCATCTCGATACCGTTCATGGAGACATGTAGACACTTGGAGCTCCCACCAGTCGCAACCTTTGCAGCCGTCTGCCTGTGGAACTGGCGACCACTATTCGACTGGGAACCTGCAGACACCCTGGACAACCTCGCGACGCAAATGACCTTCACTGGCTCGATGGACGAATCTTGGTTCTACCTAGTGTCTGTAGCGATCGAAGCCAGAGCCGGACCAGTCATTCCGATGATGATTCGTGCTATTGAAGCTGCTAGGGATAACGATAGCAAGACAGTCGTGGACTGCCTTCAGAAATTTGCCGGGAGACTCGATGAGCTAGGCGCCCTGTTGGAGCGCATGTACGAGAGCTGCGATCCACATGTCTTCTACCATCGCATTCGACCCTTCCTAGCTGGGAGCAAGAACATGGCCGATGCTGGTCTTCCAAATGGTGTCATGTTTGATGATGGTACCGGCCAGCAACCATATGTCCAGTTCAGCGGCGGCAGCAACGCGCAGAGCTCCACTATCCAGTTCTTCGACATTGTCCTAGGAGTGGAACACAGACCCACCGGCGAGAAGAGAGATGACACTGGAAAGCCTGCTCCATCTGGACCCTCGCATGGCTTCATCCAGGATATGCGCAACTACATGCCCGGACCCCATCGCAGGTTCCTAGAGCACATGGAGAGCGTCGCAAACATTCGAGAGTACGTCACGTCGAATCGCAGAGATCGGGCTTTGACGACATCCTACGACGCATGCCTAGCCATGCTACGGAGTCTGCGCGATAAGCATATCCAGCTTGTATCGCGGTACATTATCATCAAATCGCGCGAGACACAGTCGACCGCCCGATCACTGTCACCCAAGCCAGCAAACACCCAACGTGTCAACTTGGCCAACACTGTGGCTCGCACGGGAAGCAAGAAGCTTCGTGGCACAGGAGGTACAGCTCTGATTCCTTTCCTGAAACAAGCACGCGATGAGACTGGCGAGCCCGCAATCGATGCCTGGGCAAAGCGATTGCTCAACAATGGGCCTGCAGATATTGGAGCGTCCTTTGGCGTCGATGACGGCGTTGCCCGGCTAGGCAAGATATCGGAAGCCTTCAACGGGCAGGTTGAGATTGTCGGTCTTGCGGGAACCTGGAGTGTCGATGACAGTGAGGGAGGTATCTGTCATTGGTGATGGATGAGACCACGATTACCTCAAAAGCATTTTCTCTGGCGTTTGGATTTGAAACGAACATACCCTTCTCGACACGGCAGTGCGAGCAAATAGATATCCATGTTAGCAACTACACTCTCGACTCAGGTTCTTGCAGTCTCAGTCGCCATCGATGACTGAGATGATCGGTGTCTGTTCGGTCAAATGTCTGCATTGCATCATAATACAGGTGAGAACGATCAGTTGATCCCCAAAGCGATGTCATCAAGACCCACGAGGTCGTGAGCCAGACCACGAGCGTCGCACGTCTTGGGTTTTCAATGCGCCACCTTCGTCAGATCTCCCGCGCAAGGCCAAGTTGCGCGCGTCGCGACTGCCCAACGTGGGGCGTGACGTCATACTTCACATGCTCCACTAGAACTTCCAGACAGACAAAGTGATATATAACACGCTGCCATCGCGACCTTTGGCTACAACTACAGCTAAAGCTCTACTGCACTGAATTACACTACTTCAATCCTACCACAAAAACAACAACACAACCATGTCTTCAAACAAGGACGCGACTTCCACCCCTCAGTCCTACATGGACAAAGCCACCGGCGCAGTCCAGAGCGCCATCGGTTCTCTCACAGGCAGCACCGCCGATAAGGTCAGTCTCCGCGCTTCTCCTTTGCAAAGCTCTCTACTAAACCACTTCAGGCCCAAGGCGAAAACCGCAAAGATGCCGCCGCCGCCGAACACGACCTCTCCCACTCCGCCGCCAAAGCCGGTCCCTTCTCCGTAACCCCCGACGGCGGCGTCGCAAAAGACAACTCGGACCGCACCCAAGGCTCATGGAACCAAAACATGGGTGCCGCGAAGGAAGCGCTCGGTGGCCTCACCGGCGCCGAGGGCCTCAAGCAACAGGGCATCCAGCAGAACAAGGAGGGCAAGGAGCAGGAAGCTGCGGGCCAGGTCAACGATCTCGGAAAGGGGATTGGCGATAGGCTTGGGGGTGCGGTCGGTGGTGCTGTTGCGGGGCTGACGGGTAATGCGGCGCAGAAGGAGGAGGCGCAGAGGCAGCATGATGAGGGGAAGGCGAGGCAGAGGGGTGTGGAGGCGGATCTGCAGAAGCAGGTTGAGGCTGAGAAGGGGGCGTGAGGGATGGATTTTTATGATGTGAAGGATGGGCTTGGGAGGGAGGTATTGGGCACATGTTACGGATTTTGAGATGATACCCGATGAATGATAGTATGTTACTTTGGAGAGCTGTGTGCTTTGTTGCATGTCTTCGCGCACATGTTGTGTGTTTGGTTCGCTGTTCACGCGCTGGCAACATGAACAGGATTGTATCCCAAAGGCGCTTAGGAATCTATTCTCGGCGCAACACCAAAATTTATCAAAAATTCAGAGTTGTGTTCCGCAGGAAACATTATAGGTAGAAATGCAGCAAATAGTACAGCGGATCATACTGTTGCTGTGATGATTGCGCTGGGGCAGCCTGGTTGTCGGTTCAAACCAGAGTCATTGTCCATTTGCGATGATCAAATGATAGCAGGTCTTCCATGTTCTGTGCTTGTTCTCTTTCCACCGATGGGCAAACCAATTCCGATCGATTCCGGCCATACACCGGCATGTTCCACGATGCATGTCCACGCAGGCACATGCCAAGCGCCCCGGCGATCTATCCGTGCAGGACTTTGGGCTACTCATTGCTAGAGACTTCGACGATGAAGATTGCGGGCGCGTCGCTTGTCGCCAATCCACCGAGGGTTCAACAGGCGCAGCCAAGGTGGAACGAGAGCTCCAGTAGTTTGACCTAACCCCCAGGTTTGAGCCACAACTAACTATGAATAGAAGCCTACGCCACATGGTGAGGCTTGACATCATGTTAGCGGCATGATGGCGGGCGGCTGCTGTGACGTGAGGTGGATCGACGGCACAAGCCCATCAAGCTTGCGCAGCTCTTGTGGCTGGTGGGCGATCCAGACCTTGCCAGCCAAGAGCACCATCTCACCGTCTAGAGACATGTACGTTTGGCAAATGAGGCTCGGAAACACGGCCGCTGCTGAGTCCGGGGTTGACCAAGCAGCAGCACGCAATTTCCCCCAGCCTCAGAACGCGGCATGCGTCACTCGCAGGGCTTGACAGGCAATCTCGACGTGGAAACTCTGCTTGGAAGTTTGAGCGCGATCTTGTTTTGCTGTCGGGTCACTCGGACACCTATGACGCCACAACGGAAGGTGTGGCGCGTGCGGGTACGCGGCAGCGCCTGCCATCCTTGCTGAATTTCACCGGCTACGTCACTCTTGTGGTCATGAGCTGCCCTCGTCACCTGCCATAAATACTAAGCAAGACTCCCGCTGTTTGTCAAATCATCACACCATCAATCCGCACTCTACTACAAGCACTTCCAACTCTTACACGCAAGAACAACCCAACACTCCAACATGCCTTTCACCGCCAGGTATGTCCGCTCCACCAGCAATCACCCTACTTGAAGACGTAGACACTAACAATCGCCAGCGACATCTGCAAGATCCTCCTTGCCATCATCCTGCCTCCTCTGGGTGTCTTCCTTGAGCGCGGATGCAACGCTGATTTCCTCATCAACATCCTGTTGACCGTCCTTGGTTACATTCCGGTGAGTTCCGGTACACACATCATCACCCACGACCCTGTCACTAACAACATCATCAGGGTATCATCCACGCTCTGTACATCATATTCAAGTTTTAGCGGGGGCGCGCAAACACCTTTCACGATGCCGCGATAACGGCTTGACGAACAGCGTCACATCACGATACCCATCTTCCTCTTTTTCCGCCAACGTCACAGCTTGACCATCACCCGTCGCTCACCGATATCTTTGATGCCAGGATACATTTGGCATGGCGTCGCTTATGGATGCCGGAGCATCCGGTCGGGTGAAGGCAGTTCTGGCTTGGCTCCGTCTGTAATGTCATGAATAGCTTCAGGTTATGGCGTCTTGGTTTTCTGGGACAATCTCAGGTTTCCTCGCGAGCATCCTGGCGCGTTTCTACGAGCGTGCTGTAATGAGAATATAATCAAACATTCTACGAACATCCCTTTCCAATTGCCATGATGTGCAAGCATGAACGCTATATGTGATGTTACGAAGGTTGGATAATCAAGACGGCTAGAAGCAATCATTACTAACAGACAAAGAATGTTCGAGGCATTGGTGGTCGTGCCAGGGCTCAAGGTCGCGAATGCGATATGCAGCTCATGATTACCAATGTATTTCACGATTAGCAGAAATGTCTCTTGACAACCACTCAGAGTCGGTGCGCTATCCGTCTCCAGCCCGATGTGCGGCTGAACCAGAGGCACGATGCTATGCTTGGCACGTGCATCGCCGTTCTTTCCAAGGTTCACGCGCTCCGCACCAGCACTCACGACCGTCACACCTCGCGCCCACTTCGACCCTTATGTATTCCCTCCACTCCAAACCGTATCACTCACCGCATTCCTATCGTTCGAAGCGCAAGGCGCGATATAAATACCGCCCAGTATGAGCTTCATGACTGCCACGCTCACAGACGCCGAAATCGACGCGCTCAGCAGCGATGCCTTTGACCACGATGGCGCGATCCGCAAGCTCGACAAAATTATGCGCTCGCTAAACACCGACCCTACTTCATTCATCGAATCGATCCGGGTCAAAAACACGCTCGACGCGTACGTCCAACGGGCCAAACTTGAGCCGACTCTGCCAGTGCTCAGGCTCATCTTGAACTGCGAGTACAAACTGTGGAAGTTGGCCGAAGAAACACCTATGAAGCACAAGGTTTACTTGTCGCACTGGGTAGAGGCCCTCCAGGAGATCAACAATGAAGCAGCCGAAGGGCAGGAAGACAAGGCGACCAGCAACGACACTGTCACTGCTGCGGAAGTTCGGAACACCAGGGCGGAATACATCATGGGGCTCCTGCTGTGGGAGCCGTCGTCATCCAAAGCCTCGCCCCACTTGATACTGGACCGCCTTAAGATGGATGGTGTTCCACTAGCAACCTTCGATATGGAACCGTACATGTGCATGCTCGTTGAGACTCAGGTTTGGGACGTGCTGCCAGAGCCGAAAGTACGAGCACCTGCACAGCCCGTCCAGAAGCCCACAGCACCAGCGGAAGACGAGGAGTCACTGCACGTTACTCAGGCGCAAGAAGTTAACAGCTCACAGTCATGGGATGAAGCCATAATCCGAAAGCTCAAATTCGAACCCGAACAAGCCGTGCAAGAACTCGCGCATCTTCCACTCGAGCTGTCGTCCCTAGAATTCCTCACCAAACTACACACCAACCACACCTTCGTTGACAGCGGGATTGATGGTCAAGACGTTACCATCCATTTCATACAACACGCAATGCGGCTTATCGAGAAGATGGAGGCGCCCCCTCCGACGTCGCAGGAGGAGACAACGACCAATGGCACGACCAATGGAACTGCCAACGGTACTGCCAACGGTACTGCCAACGGTACTGCCAACGGAACCACCAATGGATCCACCAATGGATCCACCAATGGATCCACCAACGGTGTTGGCAACGGTACCCCGATCGTTGAATACGGAAAGGATGCGCAACGTCGCGCTGTCATGATACTGCTATTGTTCATCAAAAGCTCCATCACCAAAGGCTTCGTTGAAGCGGGGGCGCTCTTCTATGAGCTTCAGGAAATATGTATTCGATACATATGGATAAAAGAGGTCAGGGACTTCAAGGCTTGGACACAAGGACAGTTTGGGGTTAACTAGAAGCTTACCAAGAAGAAGTCGAAGAAGGCCAGGCAGTCAGGTCGGGTACAAAGAGGCTGTGGATGTTAGAGGTCGCTAGGACTGATCATTAGAGAGAAGCAGGGTTCATTGATACGCTGATTCAGGTCTTTCCTTTGTAGACGGCCAGTGTCTTTGATACCAATGTTTCGATGTTGGCCAGTCCGTTTCTGCGACTGCAACGTTTGCCTCACGATGCAGCTACTGCGATCACTGCTCCGTACGGTCCAGATGTGGCAAGCCTTGCTGTGACCGACATGCATAGCGAAACACTGGAAGCCGATAGCATGAAGATCCGCGTCCAGAACCTGCATGTTGTTCGACAATCTCACCGCTCCGCGTTTTCGAAGCTGTCATTCTCAACCTTCTTCTCTATTACAGTGCTACAGTGGAGTCGCCTGGAAGTGTCGACGTCAAGTCATGGTCGTGCTTGAGGCGGCTTGAAGGTTTCGGGAATATCCGGGACTGCAGCTGAGGCAAGAAGCAACGCGCTAACCCTCGAACGATGCCAAACTTTAGAGTTTCAAAACCCGCTACTGAAACAACCATCGCCTTTTCACCTCGGCCGGATTGCTGGCTAACCGTTCATGAACGACAAGCGGTGGATAGCTGCCGACAACGGCCAGGGATATCATTTCGTTGCTTACTTTTGTGTATCCATGACCTGCAAAATGTCTGCGCAATCCCGAATGATATCACAAGAATGCGAAAGCGAGCATGCAAGACCGAAACGATGTTCCCTCGATGCTGTTTCGATCGCCGAGCCTGAATCGAAACCTCGCTGCTGATACACATCTGCAGACATGCTTCCTCAGATGCCAAACATCAATGCGCGCTCCCACAACGCGACATCATTGTTCCGAAGCAGCCTTGGGAAGATCCCAAACCAAGCTTCTGGAGATGATCGTCCCGCAGTGGATATCCTAGCGGAATTGGCCTTAGTGGAGTAACCATGACCATCGTTCGACCAGCATCGTCTCAGCTCTCCGGTCAGGGTCTGTGCTCTCGGTATCACAGCCTCCCTCGACGGCCATCATCGTGTTTGGCCATGGCAGCAAGGGGTCGCGGGCGCCATCTTGCCTTGGTGGATCGGAGACGCAGACCGCTGAATGCTTGTGTCTATGCTAAGCTTTGGAACGCTGACAAGCCACCGCGAGAAAGCTGTATATAAACCTGACTGCTCGTCCTCCTAAGGTCGATATCACCATCACTCAACATTCAAACCAACCAGACTCGCTTTCTTCCCTTCCTTCCATCCTTCTAATTACTTTCTTGCGCCGGTCGCTTGCTTAATTCACTACTCATTACATCTTTCTCACTCAGTACTCTCGACTATCTTCAACTCTTTTTAACCCTTTTTATCAACCAACTTCATATCCATCAAGATGCGTTACTCTCTCGCTGCCATTGCTGCTATCGCCGCCTCCGTTCAGGCCCACGGTGTCGTTTCTGAGATCCAGGGTGCCAATGGTGTAACCATGCCTGGTCTTTCCGTCCAGGACGGTACTCCTCGCAACTGCGCCTCTCCTCTTTGCGGTTCCGAGGCTGATACTTCCATCATCCGCACCCGCGAGATGGGTGGCAAGGCCTCTGCTCTTGGACGCACCCAGGGTGGCGGTGCTGTTGACGCTGGTGCCGCTATCTCCATGTTCATGGGAGGTGCTGCTGGAGGTGCTGGTGCCGGTGCCGCAGCTGGTGCCAAGCGTGGCTTCCTCGATGCTCTTACCGGTGGTGGTGCTGGCGGCGCTGGTGCTGCCTCTGCCGGCACCAAGTCCACAGGAACTGAGGGTGGTGTCGCCAAAGCCGCAGGTACCGGAGCCACATCTGGTCTGCCCACCACCGCCGACGACGGCACCATCACCATGACCTTCCACCAAGTCAACCAGGACGGTGCCGGTCCCCTGACCGCTCAGATCGACGCCACCTCCGCTGGCACCGACCCCGCCGCCTTCCAGGACGCAACCGTCATGCAGAACGTCCCCGGTATCGGTATTGGAGGTCTCTCCGCCGCCGCCGTCAAGGACTTCCCCGTCAAGGTCCAGATGCCCGCTGGCATGACCTGCTCCGGTACCGCCGGTGGCGCCACCAACGTCTGCATCGTCCGCATGCAGAACGCTGCCCTTGCCGGTCCCTTCGGTGGCTCCGCTGCCTTCACCCAGAGCACTGCCGCCAAGAAGCGCGCGGTCGAGTACAACCTCCGCAAGCGCCACATGGCCCGCGGTATCCTCGGAAAGCCCGAGTAAGCTTCTCGCCATCCATCAAGCTTTCTCTACAATGGCCCCTCGGAATCATACAATGACGACAGCAGCAACCTCGGATTAGCACGACAAATGAAGAGTTGGATATAATATAATAAGAGACGAAGAACAACTTTGCGGTTTTGCTGGGCAATTCCACTTTGGGCACAAGAACAAGAGAGAGAGAAAGAGATATTACAAGTACATACGAGTATGAATAGAGTGAGCTCGGCTTTTTCAAGAATCCATTCTTCCATGAATGGGGTTCTTGGTGCCACTCCTTTAGTTCTGTACATAACTGACCTACCATACACTCATTTACTTGAGCTGTTTTCCTTTTTAGTTGTTTGGTTATATAAACTGTAATTAGATGGATGGAATGGGAGACGGGTGTCTGCGGAAGGGGAGGGAGGTTGTTCCTTGACGGTTTAATTGGATGGGAGCAACTCTTTTCTTTTTTCGTGGGGGTTTCGTCTGGGTCTGTATATAGATGAATGTTAGCGAGTCTGGTTTAAAACTCTCTTGGTCTTGCATGAGTGATTTTAGTGATTGAGTGACTGACTGATGACTGGGAAATGTATGTATTTAGAGGACAACGGGCTTCGCAGTGTCTGGTGGATGGCCACTGAGCTTCCTTATATATCTTGTAGACAGCATGCTCTTCTAGATTAAAACGTCGGTTCTCGAGCCTACAAAGGCATACGATTGGACAGATTTGAGAACTTGTTCCTAATGCAGACCTGAGGGATATTTGATTTTGCGTACTAGACCAGTTGATTTTGAACGTAGCAAAGAGGTGGGATTGAACAAGGTACCATAGTGGATCCAAAGTCAGGTCTCGCTGGCGCCAGAAATACATGTCTGATGTTAATCATCTTCTTCGATAGCACCCAGGACCAGTGTACGTCGTAGCAGAGCTTTCCATTCTTCTAAGTTCCACCCCCCTCTTTCAACATTCAGATCAGTGTTCTGGAAAACACTGCACAAGTTCTCAAAAAGGTCTTGAGTCGATGCTGCGTAGTCTGGTGTGATGGCCCATAGCTCGCGTTCCCGTGGCGATAATAATGAGAGCAACGCGTATATGCGGTCGCGTGGATCGATGCAGATGCTATGGACCGATAGGTTCAACAGCCAGGTTAAGCTAAAAGTTATGGCATTGGATATAGTCCAAAATTGAATTATATGGAAGGCCGTTTCATGCGCCGGTGTCTCCATGAGGCGTACGTAGTTCCAACCAAACGATTCGTTCGCTCTAGACACTAACTCCGAAGCCGGCAGGACCTCATTCCCGCACCAAAATTCAACGGACGATGAGAGCAAGTACTCTTGGAGTATCCACGTACGGGTCCAGTATGGATGGCCTAACATGTATTTGAGGCTCGCCAATCGAGGACAGTCTTTGATAGCGTCTTTGGTAGCAGGACGCTCTCCCCGCAAGTACGAGCGTTCCTGCACGGTGATTCCTGTTTTCAAGACCTGAAAATGCGCTGCGGATTCCCTACTCGCTGTACCAAGCCAAGCGATCGTCTTCTCTGCTCTAGTATATATAGACCCCATGATGGCAACTTGATGGTTCTTTTCGCGGTCATTCGTTTGGTCGATGGAAAGAGCGTCAATCCAGAGGTAGTCATCAGCTTTCACAGACCGCAGCTGACTGAGTAAGTCCCAAAGATTTTGCCGCACAGTAAAGGGTTGTCCATTGAGTAGGATCTGTTTTGTGGGCGATGGTTCTCCCCACATGTACGAAACGGCGGTATAGGGAGGTGCATCGACAAGAGACGTCACATGGAGTCGTACAGAGATTTTCGATGAGGATGTGGCGGTCGAAGAGTCTAGTCCAAGTTTGAGCAGCCGCGTGTTGATCGTAGGGCTAAGGTCCAACGGAGCAGACTGATGGATTGTCGACATCGCGTGTAGTGAGAGATTTTCAAGGTTTAACGCGAATTGCCCTGTTTGGGGAGGGAACTGCATATGCGTAAGTAATGTAGGTCTTGATGTGCTTTGCAGGCTAACATGGTCTGAAAGAGAACTCGAGCCTTTCAACAGCCACGTAAACTCCTAGGGTATCTGCTTGTACGTACACTGATCCTACTACGAAAGGACAATCCTATCCCCAGATAACACGATGATATGTACAAGCAAGAACTTTGTTTGCAGTGTATATAAGTTGTGTTCAGGTCTCGAGAAGGCTGAAACGCCGTGGCAGCAGACGGCAGCCTACTTATATACGGCTGAGCGTCTTCGTGTTAGCCAATGAAAGACTCGATGCGCGGCATAGCCCTCTCCTTCATATCTGGGCGTCATTCTGGTGTACTTGGGTAAATGCCCAGGTACTTGGGTAAATGCCCAGGCATGATGGGAATCTGCTTCTACAAACGCGTGGTTCAGAGGTAAGAGCACTGCGGAAGGGTGGATCCTGGAGTGTGGAGCCGTGCTAGGGTCGTTGATCGCCGGCGCGTCACCTCTACAGACATTTTGCGCCTCACGCAGCGCTCCTCTAACAACAACCTCCTCCGCTACATATATCCGACATGGGTAAAGGAACCGACAAGCTATACATCACCCACTCTGAGTGGTCATCTTCGGATGCGTTCGGCAACGCGCGCGGCGCAAACAGCGCAAATCGAGCCTCCGCTGCCGGCCTGTCCTCGACCTTCAAGCGCCTTCCCTTCAACTACTGCGCCGTCTCGCTGCAGCCCTTCACAGATCCCGTGTGCACATTATCGGGCACCATCTTCGATCTCA